AATGAAATTATCAATTAACAAATTGGTCTAGAAAATGTAAGAAACATATGCATAAATTGTATTTAGAGACAAATAATTTATGAATCAAATACGTTTTATATAAATGAAAAAAATAACTCACTTCAATGTCGCAGGTCAAGAAAATCCTGTCGTGATCTGGAAATTTGAATGCCTCGAACTCGGAATAAAACAGACTGGTAAAATTCGCGATCGGCTCACGTTTCCAATCCAAATTTTTGTATTTCTTCCTATTACAAAGACACACACACACATTGTCACATCAATAAGTTTCAACAGTTCACTCAAATTCTCTTACGATTTTGATTTGTCCTTTTCGAATCTACTGTACAAGGTCAAAGAATTGTTCGATTTTTTCAAGTTCTCCTCGTCGTACGCAACGCATCTGTTAATTTTCAAATCGTAGAGTCTGCTCTTGTCTTTCATGAAGATCAGAAGAGATATTTCACTTCCAATTTCAACCTCGGAATTGATTGGAGACACCTGATTATTAGATTTTAAAATAAAATACATTCTTTTTTTAGGATTTAGTTACTCACGTTTGGATAGATTCCATCCTGCGTATCCATCCAGGTTACGACAGGCTCTTTGGATATTGGCACGTAGAAGGAATGGTACCGTTTATCAGTAGTTATTAAAACCATTCGAGATTTTTCACATAGAATCTAACACATTTCACATATAATTTTTTGTTAATTTATTTATCGTTACTTACGATTGTTGCAAATCCAAGTGAAATTACTAATATGATGAACTTCATTATTCATTAGTTGTATTGTTTTTTGTGAGTCCAAAATGTGGAAACTATCAATTTGATGTTGTTTGAACAAAACAATTTAGATCAGTGTGTCAATACCAACGACTTTGCTTTTTCTTTATATATGTGCGTTTGTGTGCGGGGAGAGGAGAGCGTTCGATTGGAGCCTCGGACAGAATCCAATTTAGTGGAGATGTCGTTTATGACCATTTACATTTTATTCGCTTTTCGAGGTAAAATAAAAATATGTGCGCGGTTTCTCCTCCATAACTCATCTCGTTGTTTGAAGAAAGTCCCGTTTTCCGGCATCTCGGAACAAACAAGCCTTAATAAATTTCTACTGTTAAAACTATTTCTATATATGTTTTAATAAACAATACATTATTTTGAAAGTTTAAAAGGTCAACAAAAATAAGTTAATGATAAATAGATTTTAAAGAAACTGATGACAACCTGTTTTCTGATTAAGTTATTGAAAATTTCGTGATTATTTTTGAAAAACCAAGACATTATTTAACTAATAGATGATAAAAAGTAGGTCTTGAAGAAATTGTAAAAAAAAAAAGTATTTATTTTACACACAAAACTCTATTTTACTAAGTCTTGAGAAAAATGTAAGTAGTTATAATTAAATTAAGATAATTAGACTTAACTTATGTAAAAAAACTAAGTTTTGAAGAATTTTTAGAACATATTTGAAATAATTCCTAATAATGTAATTAGAGTTAACTTATTTAAACATATAAGTCTTGAAAAAAGTAAAAGTAATTACTGTTCAATAACGAATCATGAAAATATTTGAAATAATTTTACAAATATAAATAAACAAGAACAGTATTTGGTATATTACTTTTTGAGAAAAGATACTAAGTCTTAAGAGAACTGAAGATATTTATTATCAAAATAATATAATTAGACATAACTGTAAATAGCTGAATCTTGTAGAATGTGAAAGTTGTTATTATAAAATAATATTATTAGCAAATTTGGAAACGAATTTGGAAAATATTTAAAATTATTCCTAATAATTTAAATTTCCAACTTAGTTATTACCATATACAAGTAGATATTATCTATAGTTATCAATTTTGGAAAATAATTATATAGAATATTAGAAATAATTTATAATTTCAAAATTATCATAAATTGATTTTTAATAACATTTGTGCTTATTTCGGAAAATAATCTAAAAAATGTTGTCAAGACAAGAGATTTTCGAAAGTAATTTATAATTGTATAAGGTTAAAAGCATTTTAGAATTTTACATAATTTATATGATAGAAAAAGGAAGTTTCTGAGGAAACTGCAAAGAGATCAATTTTGGAATGAAAATGAAATAAAATAAGATGAAAATTGTTCTATTAACAGTAAAAATTACTCAAATGTGAAATTGTTATCATTTTGTTTACCTTTTCTTTATAATATTCATTACATTTCTAAAGTTCATATAATTATACTTTTTCATCTGTTTACTGATCTTTATCCCTTTGCAGACGGAGATTTTACAAGGTCGCATTTTCGAGCGAATTATCATGTGTTCATAATTTGGGCGGATATATCCGCCGTTCGTCTACGATTAAACTTTTTACTTTCATACGCTATTTACTTAATATGGATATTAAAGAATAAACTATAGAAGATAGAATGAGCTATTTTCGTTTAAAATAGTTATAGTTAATTAATCGAAATCTAACAAATTTAGAAAATATATTGAATATAGATGTGAAAAAACTACAGAAGTCTTTTTTATTCCACCGTTTGTTTCGATTTAGTCGCAGCACAAAATTAAAGTCTGGTGACTTTAAAACTATAATTAAATTGAGGTGTTCTAACAATCATATAACTATTGCAATAATAATCTACTTGAAATTGACTAACTATAGTATATACTTGTTCTAATTTATAGCACGTTTTTTTTTAACTATTAAGTTAATGCTTATATGTATGAAAACTATTCGACAAAAATATTAATGGTCTTTTAATCAGCAAGCAAGTCTAATAAACGAAAGCATACTCTGAGAGTTTACTAGTTCTTTGATGTTATTTTTAAATACTGGAAACCTAACACAACTCCGTGGAAGTCCAGCAAGTATATGACTAAAAATACAGAACACTGTTATATAATGATTTCTCTCCAAGAAGCATAATATATATATAGATATAGTTACAATTTTATTATAAAACTTTATCAGAATATAGATCTATGTTTACTTTAAAATAAATTAAGTAATTATATTGAATAATTATTTCTAAGAACCAAAATTGAAATTGTTTAAAAAAAAATATGTTTTTCAAATTAAAAAAAAAATATCTATAATAATTAATTGTTTTTACATGCAATTTACAAACATTACATGAACTTTTAATACATTCTGATAATTTCTTGTAGAATTATTAAACTGGATTGATTATGTAAGTGGAGTGCTAATTATGTAGGAGTTTACCGTTGCAACTAATTAATTGATCGATAATGAATAGGAAAACCTAAGTGTTTAACTAAAATCAATAATAAGAAAATTATTTGTTTGCTCTTTACTTTCAATTATCATACATTCCCATTATATGTCAGAATAACAGAAGGAAAAAAAATTATGTAAAATTTAATTTCATCTTAAATATTTTTTTACAATTTTCAATATTATTCAAAATGTTTGTATTTTTTGTTTAATGAATTCATCCAAAAGAAGTGTGTTTACATTAATTTGTTCAAATTTCTAATGTAAAATCTGCTAACTTATCTATCATTTGCAAAAAGATTGGAGATAATGATCATGAAAATGTGTACAAAAGAAACTGCTTGATAAATGATCTTCTTTGAGTATCCTCTTTCAAGAACTTAGTTGGTCGGTCATCTTCTATAGGCGGCGATACGGCGGAGCCCCTAAATGAAAAGCCTTTTCCAGAAATTTTGACAATATTATACTAATTATCTTATTTCAAAGTTTTATCTACGTGTTTTGAGAGAAGAAAAAAAAACCTTTTAAGACGTTTCATCGTTTCGTCAAATCTTAAAATGGTCTCACGACAACCTTACCATAGGGCTCAATGGTACTGTGGAATTCTTACCCACTAAAACTTCTACTCTATGCGATACTGATTTCTCTTGTCTGTCTGGCATTTCCCTTGGTTCATTAACTTGCGTCAGTGGTGGCCTCCACTGCCACTGTCTTCTGCAGCTTACGCTCGTCTTCCACGCTGTTTCTCAGCTGTCTTCACTCTTCAGCATTTCACTAACAAAATTGTCCGGCTCTAGTAAGACCCCCACAAGTCTGCCACTGCCTCGTGTTTCATCCTAATCCATCTGCAGCATCTAAAGAACGTGTGTTCAGGGTTCTCATCTTTCTCCTTCTTCTCGATGAAGTGCAGGTACTTGCCAAAACATTCCTGACGAGATAGCGCTTGGCTCAGGTGAAAAGTTGTCTCATCGTGCTTTCTGCTTATCTAGGACTCTATTTGTGGGATTAGACGTCGAGTCCAGGCTCCTTTCTCCGGACTCTAGCATAATCTTTGTTCACCTCTTTTCATAAAATTATAAGTGCCACTGATATAAACTTAATTAACTTTAGTTTTATTTAATTCATTTTCTTATTGTTAAAATAAATAACCTTTTTATATAGGGTGTCCCAAAATTCACACATCAAGTAATTTTGATATATTAGAACACAACCTTAGACATCAAAAAGAAATCCAAAGAAAAAATTCCAACTGCGTTAAATCGCATAATCTGTGAAATTACTCATGCAGTAATTCAATTGTTTCTCGGGCTGTATTGTTGAAACTACATTTCGTCTACATCCATATCTTGCAATTTACTCACACAAAACTGTATTATCTAATTTATCCCTGAATTTTTTAATTAATCTATATTTAACCAAATATGGTTGTTTAAAAGAAACTTATATTAATAAATATCGTTATATTTTGCGTATGTTTACTGTTTCAAGTGAGCTGCGAACCAATTCATCTTGTTTGCTTTTAGTTGTTTTTTTTTTGTTAAATTGTCTGTAAATATATAAATTGGTCTTATTTTTTTAGTTCCAAATATTCAAAGTCCACAAATTCTGTTCTACTTATCGATCATTGCATAAGCGCAATATGTAAACATCGTTCGAAATGAGCAAACATGAGGTGACATCCACTTTGTTTGTAACTATATTAATTGTAGAATATGCATTCCACGTGCTGTAAATACAAGTGAATTTAGTATAAAAATAGACAAAATTTCATAAATTTACTGAAATATTAATTGAATAACATATTCAATCATACTTCAAAAATGTCATTTGTCAAAAACAAACAGGAAAAAAAAATTGACGACTGTCATATTGAAAATATATGCATAGTTAATAGTTTCCTTTCATGAGATGACATCCACTTTGTTTGTAACTATATTAATTGTAGAATTTGCATTCCACGTGTTATAAATACAAGTGAATTTAGTATAAAAATAGACAAAATATTCATAAATATTAATTGAATAACATATTCAATCATACTTCATAAATGTCATTTGTCAAAAACAAACAGGAAAAAAAATTGACGGCTGTCATATTGAAAATATATGCGTAGTTAGTAGTTTTCTTTCATGAGATGACATCCACTTTGTTTGTAACTATATTAATTGTAGAATATGTATTCTACGTGCTGTAAATACAAGTGAATTTAGTATAAAAGTAGACAAAATATTGATAAATATTCATTGAATAACATATTCAATTATACTTCATAAATTTCATTTGTCAAAAACAAACAGGAAAAAAAAAATTTCATGAGGTGACATCCACTTTGTTTGTAAATATATTAATTGTGGAATTTGCATTCTACGTGCTGTAAATACAAGTGAATTTAGTATAAAAATAGACAAAATTTCATAAATTTACTGAAATATTAATTGAATAACATATTCAATCATACTTCATAAATGTCATTTGTCAAAAACAAACAAGAATAAAATTGACAGCTGTCATATTGACATTTAAAAATAACAAGGGTTGTTTTCTAAAAGAACGTCAATATTTTATACACCTTTCCAATGTATTTGTTTCCGTTGACTTATCCTTATCATAAACCTTAAAATATAAAAAAATAAATAAAAAGGGAAAACCAATTCAAAATATTTTAGTATCTTATGTGACTTTTGTATATTGTTTGATATCATTTTCACATCAACTGGTATTTTTTGTATTGTATTGTTGTGTCCAACCATTATTATTATAATTGTTATTGTTAATATAGTGTGTTAACTAACTAGAGACATCAACGGCGTCACTTAGTTGCATTATTATATAAGCATATACATCAGCAGTTTGATACACTATAATATCCGAATACTCGGAACTCAAGTCCTTATTATGAACACATAATGATCATTACACGTACAATCGTAATCAATCATCTTTTTCATATAAACATATGCATAGGATTTTGTCCCGGTCTTATAATAAAGAAAACCACCAAGGCAGAATCCCGTAGGAATGCTTAATCATCATTATATCCAGAATTCCATCCCTGGGACACGACAGTATGAACACCAAAATTCAAAATATGAACATTTTAATTGTGGATTGGCCATGTATGGATTTCAATATAATTTGATAAGGCTTACACACATTGTTTTTGAAGTACGTCATTTGTATTTAAAAATTAGGTTAACAAATGATATTTGTATAATACAAAAATGTTGAACTTTTATTAATAAATATAAAACCTACATAAAATTGAATCATTATGTACACAAATAGAAAATTGGTCTAGACATTTAGCATATATTTTTAACATGTTTATCAATTTCTATTTATATATTGATAATTATACCAATTTCATTTTAAATAAATATATTGTTAATGATAAAACTTTTATTATTATAGCAGTTTTCTACTGAAATTTCTATTCGTGGTTAATCTTATTGTTTTGCTATTATATCTTAATTTTCATTACACAAATCTAAATTATTTCTGAGTACTTAAAAAAAAATCATTTGAAAGAAACTATTAATGTTTAAATGAATAAAAATATTGAATGATAAATAAAATTTATATTAAATTGTATTCTTTAAAAAAAAACATTAGTTTATAAGAAAGTCAACAATACAGTTTCTATCAATTTGTTATAATAATTACAATACCCCGCATAGTGCGGATTCGATCAATGCGGATTCAGTTCGAATATTTTTAATACACAAATGCTCGTTTTTTTTTTTCTCTACACAGTTAGGTCATTTTGTGATGTTTATTTTTATGCGGTATTAAGGTCATTCGGTTTCAAACAGTGCTGGATATTGGTGAAACCGTCAATCCGCACTATGCGAGGTACAGATTGCTGTATTTAAATTCCACCAAAAACAATAATAATATAAAAAAGAAAAACCTATAAAACTGATTAATTTTAACGATATTTAATTATTTTAATGTTACAAAAGCAGTATTTTACAAACATACTTGAACCTATAGTGAAATTTTCGCAGCACACTTAAATAATAATGAAGTTTCAATTTTGATATGTTTATTTACAGCGACTTGAATAAAAAAAAAAGTAAAATCCTTTCACTCCTGTTGAAAATCACTGGTCTACCGTAAGTCTACTCTATAAATAGACAAATCTGAAATGAATTTTACATGTGTATAATGGACGAAAGGGATTGCATTAAGTAAGTAAAAAAATTAATAATAATATATAAACAACGCAGAGATCATTAGTTTAAAATAGTTCGAAAGCTACACCGAGTTCAGTAGTGGGAACATTTCCCATGGATTTTTTTTTTCTTATAAATAGCTTTACGAGCTATTGAATAAGAAGAAAAAAAAAAAAAAAGCACACTCGGATGAACACTATTCGAAAATGGTTTTTCAATTGTTGGTTTTTGAAGGAACAAAAAAAGGTTAGTTCAGGTGCGCGATGGTGTGGGGGGGGGGTAAAGGGTCCTGAAAATAGAATGTGCATTGTGCTGAAAGTGAAAGAGAGATGGAGAATGCGAGGTGTAGACGGAGGAAAAGGAAGGAATGAAAAGGGCATATTGGGTTTCGTTTCGACAGAAAAAATGTTATTTTTATAAATTCTGAAAATTTTCGTTTGTGCAGAGAGCAGTGTGCATGTTCCATTGTTGGATCAGTGGTAAAGGAGAGTAGTCCTTCTAGTTAGTCAGTTGTAGGTGTTTCAATCTAATCTGCGTGCGTCTAAAGAGGAGGAAGGATCATCGTCTATATATATATATATATTTAGAGAGATAGATAGAGACGGAAAGGGTGCGCGCGGCAGGTCGTGATGGAAACGGGAATGAGGCGCATGCCATTTCGGATTTTATAGATTTAGTTTGGAACCACGAATTTCTCTTTATTTTCCTGCAATTCGAAATGCACCTCTTTTGTTGTTTGTTGAAGCGCAAAGTTTAAGTTTTTGATTATTCCTCGACGATCGATCAGCGAATCAAGTGCGGTTTAGTGAGTGCGGATTTTCCGGTTGAAAGTTTTCATTTTCGAAATAAAATTGAAGAAAGAAGGAAGAAAAGAAAAAAGAAGTGGGGAAACAGAAGGGTGACAGAGAGAAATATAAAGTATAAACGCAAAAATATATAGGTGTGTATATATACGGTCGTGCCGTTCGCGAAAGCAAGTCGAAAATGAGCGTGCCTTCTGCTTCCTCCTCGTTCAAGTCGTCTTCTTCGTCTTGATTCATTTCGTTTCTACTTTTCGTTACGTTCTTTCTGCCCAGGTAAGCGATTCGACGATAATTGCAAAGTGTCCGAATAATTCATTATTTCCTCCTTTTCGTTTCGCACTTTAGGCGAGTCCCCTAAACTCTCTCTCTCTCTCTTTCATACATACAGTGCGTATCTTTCGCTCTGTCTAGTACGCACGCACGTCGAGCTGTAGTTTTGCAAACGCGCGTTATAGAGTAGTAAGTAGGTGGTTCGAATTTTTGAGGACAGATTTTTTGTGGAGAATCAGTATCGAAGATGGCTTTCGACGAGGACATCCTGCAGCCGATCTCCTTGGAGGATCTGCCGAAGCTGAGAGATCTGTACAAGGATCATATGCCGTTCGCGACTCACGTGTTCAGCTTTTTCAATACGAGCATGAAATGGATCAAGAGTAAGCCGGAGGAGAAGTACATGACGTTCCTTGCACCCTTCGGGGATTGGAAATCGGATGGGACTTTCATCGTCATTTTGCAGGTGAATATTTTATTGATTGAAACCGGCTCTGGTGGCGGCGGCGGCGGCGGTTTCGCCCCTTCAACATCTTTGGGACGTTATCGATTCGCACATCTGCGATGACGTTAGCCGCCGACGCCGCCGTCCTCGTCGATTGTTTGGCGGCATTTTTAAAGTTTTACAAAATTATTTTTCCAATTGATTTCACAGTCGAACTGCTATGATTTGTTCATGTTCACATTGGACAACAAATGTGAGAAACTGTATAAGGCGCTCAAAGAAACGAAGAAGATCGACTGGAACAATATGATCCAATTCTACTTCGTCCATCGCGAGCATTGCCCGATCATATACAGGGTGATCAAGGAGCTGCAGCTCCCTATCACGTACGACACGAAGACGGATCTGTGGTGGCTGCCACGGGAGAAAGCACTCAAATTCCAAATAGAGTAAGTTCGGCTCCCGAAACACCATTATTTTTGTAACGCTTTTCTTCTTCTACGTTTATTTTAGTTGCCCTCCCGAGGTGTACATCGGACCTCTGAAGCCTTACCACGCTCCGCTCATCAATTCCATCTGGCCGCACCGATTCCCCGGCTCCGAGGGATATCTCACCACCTTCATCAAGATGAACGGCGGCAGAGGACTCTTCCTCAAGAGCAACGATAAACTCGTCGCCTGGGTCCTGAAAAACCAGCTGGGAACGCTCGTCGTCCTGCAGACGCTGCACGATTACAAACGCAAGGGATACGGCAGTCTGGTGACGGCCGCCCTCAGCAGGGAGATCGCCGAGGAAGGTCACAACGTCATCGGCACGGTGCTCGTCAATAATTCCGCATCTCAGGCGATGTTCAAGAAGCTCGGCTTCGACATCCTCGACTACAGCCGGTTCATCGGCGTCGACGGCCGCAAACTCTACAACCACTTATAAAATTATTAGTATTTTCTTTCTTTTTCTTTTTTTTTGTACAAGTTGCGCGCCCCCCTCACGAAGTTATTCTTTTAACGCTAGAAACATTCAGAAAACATAATTAAAAGGGATGAACAGATGAAGAGCGTGTGACTGCGAGTGAATGTGGTGAACGAGCGAAACAGATTGAGTGCCCTTCTCGCACATTATTCGTGCATTAGTTTTATAATTTTTAGTTGTTTTATTTCTAAAACTAATTTAACTTTAATTATTTTATAATAGTGTGATTTCTAAACTATACATAAATATAAATATTATATACATACATACATACATATAAATATATTAAAAATAATAATTAATTCGGGCACATAGACGAAGAAACGAACGTGTCCCAACCCAAACCTGAACTCAACTTCAGATGATCTAGCGTTGTTCAGTTCATCAACTAAAAAATTTAAAAAAAAAATTACAATCTGTATATTTTGCGTTCCGGTAACCTTTGCCCTTGGATTTCAAGTACAAATGTTTGGTGCTTAATTGCGTTAAGCGCCCAAGACGATGTGGGAGAGAAGATGAAGAGACGGTTAACTTAACAAGATGAAAAGATGGATAATTAAAGAAGAAAAAAATAATTAAGTCTTGTATTTATTGATATATATAAATATTGTTAGATTGTTGTTCCACTATTTGACGAGAGAGTAAAGTTGAAAAAGAAAACGAATTTTCCAACGATAGTTTTAGTTTTTCTTTGTCTCATTTTTCTTTTAATCATTAATCTTGAGCTTTATGTATCTTTATATTTTGTGTTCGTATGCAGTTCAGCTCCAAAATCGACAGGATTTAACAACAAATGTAGTTGGAATAATTAATCAAAAAAAAAAATAATGCAAATAACAAAAATAAAAAATATACAATTATAAATAAACACACTTTTTGAATATTCATAAAAGCGTTTTTATTTTTTCTTCTTTTTTTCCATTTGTCTCGTTTTATTGTTCTAACTATTTCACACGTTTCCAAAACCGGGTTCAACGTTTCCTCTGATACTGTGTAAACTTCAATTAGGATTTCTATACTGATTTTGCTTTTAATATTTATCTAATTAAAACGTAAATCGTATCAAGATTTTCATATTTAGCTAATTTTAAAAAAATGTAGTTTTATCCGACTTCTTTTATAAATTTTAAAATTTCGCATTTTCTTAAACGTCTTATCGTTCTACACTAGTTTAATTCATACAAATGATATAACCCGTTACTTCTTGGAAATATTCGAACGTTACGAAAGCGAGAAACAGACTTTGATATTTTTTTCTTCCAAATTTTTGTAAACTTCGTTTCTTTCCCACTGTTTGATTTAGCATTCACAAAGACATGTAAATTGGGAAAATAAAATTTACATTGTTTATTAACTGATTTTTATTTCAAAAATGTAATATTCAATCGATATTTCTCGTATCTTATGTTTATCGAATTGCAAATTAATGTAAATAACTGAATGTAATTGTCAATTTCTTATCAATATAACATATTTAGAATATACTTATCCAATTTTTGAGTTTGTTGAGATAACTCAGATCTGGATGCAACAATTGTTTTAAGTAAACTTAGTAAATTTCTTGTTTAAATTTACAAACATAAAATTCATTCACATCAAGTCAATTAGTGCGAATTCAGTTTTCGGAAGTACTTATTCAAGGCAGTCCATTACGTGGCTTACTTTATTTTCGTTGGCCTTGCACCATTTTTTTTTTTTTTTNNTAAATCTCGTTATGCATCACCTCTCGATTTTGATACTAATACATCAATTATAGGACACATAACACTTCCATGTGGTACTTCTAATCCAATAAACACAGTTACGTTTAATAAGATTTCAGAATCTAGGCAATATCTTATTTTATCTCAATTTGATATATCAATTTTTTTTTACTAATTTCTAAATATTTTTCAGTAGTTTTCTCTAAAAAATGTAATAATTAAAATACAAATGAACTTTATTACATTATTTATTTCAATATCTTACATTTTTTTTAAATTAGAACAAATACAAGAACTTATTGTCGTTTCAATTCAACCAAAATTTTAAAGTATTTAAAATTAAATGATTGATTGAGTACAGTTAAATATTGTTTTTTTTTTTTTGCAAAATTTGCGGGTGCAAATTCTATTCTGGTTCTAGTCATTCAACTTGGATGCGTAAGAATAAGAAAAAAAAAATAGTGAAGCAACTATTATTAAATTCGAAACCTTGAAAAATAAAAAACGCTCGTCCTTGGATCCGGGCTATTTCAATAAAGAAGAATTGTTAGTAGTACATCGATGATAGGAACGGGAAATCGCATAAAAATATATATCTTTTGCTGAAAATGAAAAATAAAACATCTTAAGGTCGTTACCTTGTCCAACACGTGAACCAAATTAGTCCCACACTCTGTATATACACGCAATTGTATAACAACAGAAAGTTAATAGAAATCGATACAAACAAAAAATGTTATTTATAGCAAAATCAACGAAGCAATCGCAAATTCTTCTCTTCTCCACTGATTAGATTACGATAGTCTTATAAAAGATGCTTCTCCTATACGCGCTGCATACAATTCCAGTCAGTCGTCGTTTGACCTTTCAACTGAACTCATTAAAATCAATACGATGTTGTTCACGACATTAACTCTGCTCCTGTTCTTCCTGTCGCAATTACATTGTTACGTCGTGGATCCAGGTCCTCAGGTGAAGGCGACGAAAGGTTTCGTGTGGCCCAAACCGCAGCAGGTGACGCGTTCACAAGAATATTTTGTGATTAATCCGAAGGAGTTTAGGTTTAAGGTAGTTTTGCTGCGAGATTTGATACCTCTGTTATTTTCTTTCCATACACTTGCAGAATTTGGGAAAAGAATGCGCGATTTTGGTAAAAGCCTTCCAACGTTATGGAACCATGATAAACGTAACAAATTCTTTGGAGAGACGCGGAAGATTAACCGAAATTTCTGTTGCGCATTTTCACAGAATCTACGATAAAACCAATTATTTGGGTTCTTTGTCTAAGCTATATGTGGATTTAGAAAATCCTTGTAAAGATGATGAATATCCTTCAGCTGTAATGGATGAATCATGTAAGTATATATATGTTTCAAGTAAGCTAGGAACTTGGATAGTTTATAAACGTATTTTATGTTAGGTTTTTCATTTCTTTTGCCCCCATTTCTGCCACCCCACAATATGCGTTGTTGGTGAGATTTATTCACAGTGATTACAATAGATTTTTTGTTTGTGAATCATATCAATTCTTTATAGAAATAATCTCAATTGTCAGAAAATAATAACACAACACGATTGAGTCGTGATTTGTATACATTGTATTATCAGAATAAAAGTATGAAGTTTATGCAGGCGCACAAGCGAGTTTCCACTATTCTCTTTTATAAACTAAATTGCTGACTAATTTATAAATTACTAACAAAACTTTCGTTTTCAGATGAAATAAATATAACAAATTCTATGAAGCCAATGCTGAAAGCGAAATCGATTTGGGGTATTCTCAGAGGTCTAGAAACGTTTTCGCAATTAATACATTACGCTAGCAACGAATACACGGTATGTAATTAAAAAGGAAAACATGATTTGCAAAATAAAATATCAAATTGAGCAGATTCTGTAATAAATAAAATGCAATGACCACACTGTATATTTGAAATATAGGCAACTAAATATACATTAGATTTTGAATTTCAGCTGATTGTAAACTCCACTTGGATTAAAGATTTTCCAAGATTTCCATACAGAGGTCTAATGTTGGATACATCTAGACACTTCATTCCCGTCTATAGTATTTATAATACTTTAGACGCGATGTCTTACAATAAATTGAACGTGTTCCATTGGCACATTGTGGACGATCAAAGTTTTCCATACCAAAGCACCAAATTTCCCGAACTGAGGTAATTACATCCAAATAAATGAATAAAATTATTGATTATTGATAATGTATGTTTTAGTGATAAAGGAGCGTATCATCCAATTTCTCAAGTATATACTTTACTAGATATAAAGAGAGTAATTGAGTTTGCTAGACTTAGAGGAATTAGGGTAATTCCAGAATTTGATACACCAGGTTTGTTTTAAACTTGTTTGCTTATATTATTATTTTTCTATTTAACAATTTCTTAGGACACACTCGATCATGGGGTGAAGGCATTAAGGATATTCTAACTCCTTGTTATGATACTAATGGAAAAGCGACCGGAAAATACGGTCCGATGAATCCGGCCAGTAAAAAGTTGTTCAAGTTTCTCAGAGAGTTGTTCAAGGAGATTCGTGATGTTTTTCCAGATAGTTACTTGCATCTGGGTGGTGACGAGGTTGAATTTGAGTGTTGGGACAGCAATGAAGAAGTAAAAGAGTTTATGAAGATGAAGCAAATTAAGAATTACAAAGCGTTGGAGAACTACTACATCCAAGAACTTATTAGAAACATCGTTGATATCACGGATGTTCATGTTGTCTGGGAAGAGGTTTTCGTAAACGGAGTTGAATTGACGAATGATACAATTGTTCACGTTTGGAAGAACGATGGATTCACAGTCTTGAAAAATGTAACTGGAGCCGGTAAACCGGCTTTGCTCTCTGCTTGTTGGTATTTGGATCATTTAAAATCTGGTGGAGATTGGAATGACTTTTATGATTGCGATCCTCACGATTTTCATGGATCTCAAGAACAGATGGATTTGGTTTTGGGTGGCGAGGCCTGCATGTGGGCTGAGGTAGTGAATGGACACAATATAGGATCGAGGATTTGGCCGAGGGCGAGCGCCACCGCTGAGAAGTTGTGGTCGAAAAAGAATGCAGACGAGTTTTCTAAAGCGGCGCAAAGGCTGGAGGAGCACACTTGCAGGATGAATTTTAGGGGAATCCCAGCACAGCCACCTAACGGTCCGGGATTTTGTCTCTAAAACAGCAATAATTATACATATATCTTTAATGATATTGATTAGAGAAACTAATTTTAATATGCACAACGAAAAAAGTTTGAGAAACACTGTATTTTTTTAAACTTGAATTCAATGATTGTTGATCATTTATATGATAACATCTAATATATCACCTAAATATAATATTTGTTAAAATAATTAGTTATTATTGTTTATTAAATATTTGGTAATTGAAATAATGTAAATTTTATAGTTATTTCAGTTGGTAGCATTTGCCAATTTGTTGGTTGGCTGTACTGAAAAAAACTTCTATTAACCTGCAAATGCCACTAAACGAAAAATCGGTGATAAGTATTTATAAGAACGGATTACAATAGTGTTAAAGTCGTGAAAGAAGCAGTAACAAACGAGCTATTCGATGTTTTGGTACGTTATTGATCGCAATTCTTCAGAAGATTAAAACTTGGATTTTCATGCAATCGTAAGTTAAAGAACGCTTGAAGATGGCTGTGGGTGGAACGAAAGTCGTTCAAGTAACGAACATTGCACCCCAAGCAACTAAAGATCAGATGCAAACGCTCTTTGGTTTCCTGGGGAAAATCGAAGATATTCGTTTGTATCCAACTATTCGGGATGTTTCCTGTCCTGTGCAATCAAGAATTTGTTACATCAAGTTCATGGATTCTGTTACTGTGGGTATAGCTCAACACATGACGAATACAGTATTTATTGACAGAGCATTGATAGTTATACCGGTCCAGAATGGTGATATACCTGATGAATACTATGCATTAGAAATGACGAAGAATGGAGCTATAGTGCCAGGATTATGTCCATCAGAGCCAAAACTGCCACCGAATGTTGTAAATTCTGTGAGTGGGTCAGGAATTGAACAAGTTATTATGACTACTGATCCGCAACTCGAAGCTAATGGTCTATCTCCTTATCCACCATTACCAGCAAATTACGATAGCTGCAAAATTGAGGAGATCCGAAGAACTGTGCTAGCTGGAAATATTGAACCTGCAACACCACCATCTGAAATTATTGAATTGTTTGTGCCTGCGGGTGAGATTAAATATTTGAGAATCTGCACCAGAACATCAGATGGTTCATCCTATGTTTTAATTGAGTTTAGTGAACAGCAATGCGTTTTGGAGGCACTGAAATTATCTGGAACTAAATTCAAAGGCAAAACCATAACTGTTAATCATTCTACTCAAGCAATTGTTAAACCACAAGCGAAGAGCAATGAGGCTGCCCAGAGAGAAATTGAAGAGGCCATGTCTCGGGTTAAAGAAGCCCAAAGCTTGATATCGGCTGCTATCGATCCGGTCATTGGCATGCTTTCGAAAGACAAGAGAGGTTCCCGAAGATCTAGATCGCGTTCAAGAGGAAGACGCAGGAGGTCGCGTTCTCGTTCCAGGTCTAGAAGGTCAAGATCCCGTGAGAGAAGGCGTCGATCGAGGTCGCGATCCAGAGATCGCAGGAAACGTTCTAGGTCTAGGAGACGTTCCAGATCTCGCTCTAGGCGTTCTAGGTCCAGAAGGTCTAGATCCAGAAGGTCCAGATCCAGGTCCAAGTCTCGCTCGAAATCAAGCCGAAAGGATCGTCGCAAGTCGAAAGATCGTACGCGTGAGAAATCCAGAGAACGTAGATCAAGGGATAAAGACAACAGGGATCGTTCGAGGGAGAGATCATCTAAACGCGAAGAGAAAGATAAGGACAGGGGAAAGTCTAGGTGCAAATCCAAGGATAAAGATAGATCCCGGGAGAAGGAAATCAGGGATAAAAAGAGCGACAGGGATAGCACGGATAAAGAAGATAAATCCGTGAGCGAGAAGAAAAGTTCTCGTTCGCCGTCTCGCAGCAAGTACAGATCGAAATCGAGAGATCGCAAGGACAAGAAGCGATCCCGTTCAACGGAAAGAGAGAAGAGACGTCGAAGCGCTTCGAGGGAGAGAAGAAGGAAGCGCAGCAGGTCCAAGAGCAAGGACAAGAAGAAGCGCGAGAGACGTGACAAGGAAAGATCTCATTCGAGATCGAAAGTTCCGAGAAACTACGACGAGGAAGAAAAGGGGTTTGACGCTGATAAAGATCCCAATATTAACAATCACGATGTAAAGGATGAGAAGGAGTCTTCTGTTAAATCAGAGAATATGGACATCTCCAATTCACCTTAGGACAATTTAACTTAACACAGAAATAAGTTTGTCAGTTTTGTCGATGTTGTGTATATACATGGAAGTACCCATGAGGTCTCCATTTTTTTTTTTAAATAAGCTGTTTTCTTATTTTAATATCCTTAGCATGAAGATAAAGTTGCATTTTTGCATACTATATAAACTTATTAATTAATTTTGCGTTTATAAATTAGTGGAATATTAAATAAAAATGTAACAGTAAATTTATGTATATTTTCTTAATCTCTCCCATATTTTCTTCATAAAACTACAAAATTTTCTTAGAATCTTGAGTGAACAACAATCAATTGACTTGTGTTCCACATATGATTCATAGCCAAAAATAATATTAAAATATTTTTAGCTAAAACAAAAATATCTTAGTCTGTAAGAAACGATGTTAAGAAAAATCAAATATTATAATGTTACACAAACAATCGCGCACTTTCGATATTTACGAAAGTTATGCGAATATTAGTAACACTGAGCAATTTTCCAAATATCTGCTATAGTATAGATAGCACAATCCTGTGCTCTTATCCATATTGCTGTAATACGCGTTAAAAGTTGAAAAATTGAAATTAGAACGTTCGAAAAAGCAGTGTTTTCACATTTCATTGATTTACTCGAAAACTATAATACATAGAATGAATCGCAATATATACATATGAAAGCTGAATGTTTGGGAATCCACAAGTAT